GCTCATTTATTTATATAACGGGTATTCAGTAAGATCAACGTAACACACACAAGTTGCAGCATCATTACAATTGGGTAATAGATGCATTAGGCCAAAATGAATTACACTGCATCATACGGCTGTTTTGTCCTTCTAAAATTAATCGGTGATGCATACATTGTAGGGCCATCAAAGTTGGAAAAACAGAGGACCAGGTGCGTACGTTCCCCTAAGTGTATGTGCTCGGAATATTTAAAGAGGAACTGTTGCGACTTTTTCAGTGTTCATTTAAAAGTATTCCAAACCATTTGCTGGAGGGGCATCGATCGCATGTTAAGGTTATAATTACCGTTCCACAGGCCCACAACACAATAACTGAAGAGGCGTTTCTGTACATTCTGGTTGTGTTCCCTTGTCATACTGGTGATAGCCACTAGAAACACATAGAAATTAAGCACTGATGCAAAACCAAAGCAAACATACACATTAATTACATCTTCTTTTCCAGACATTTCAACGTATGACTAAGTCTTTGTACATGTTGGCATCCTGTGTAGTCCATCTTTGAACGTTTTCAATGGGATTGATATCTTTTATTTTATTGGAGTTCCACTCATTGGCCCAAATGTGGCTCAAATCAGAGCTATAACAGTGATTCGTCTAAGTAAACCAATGTTTCAATAAGTCTAGCAATATCATTTACATTGTTAACATTTGTTGTATACAAGTACGGAAATCTTAATCCTGATCATTGGTTACATTGGTTACCATGAGTTCTCTTTCGATCCATATGTCCTTCAATGGTGGCGTAACTTTCTTTCCATCTCCTCATTCCTGGAAGAAAAATAGTATGTAGGCTGATGGTGACTTGCTGTGGGCAAAGTTTATGGTCCCATCATTATCTCACAAGGACAATTCTATATCCCTGTACATACGTCGCCATCATTATCTCACAGGGACAATTCTATATCCCTGTACATACATCACCGTCATTATCTCACAGGGACAATTCTATATCCCTGTACATACGTCAACATCATTATCTCACAGGGACAATTCTATATCCCTGTACAATATGAGTACGCATGTCTTTTGGTCAGGTTGTCATGACCACCGGTCACACTATGAGGACGTGACATTACTTGGATAAGACCTAGATTTACATGGCGGATGACAGATTAGGAAGCAGAATACGCTTATATAATTACATGTACTCTTTTGAGCACCTTGTCTTGTTCTAGTACATTTTGTAGGGTCTCCCTAATAATATCTCCTCTAGATCTGTTAATAGTTTTACAGAGTTTCATTGATTTTGAAATAAAATTGTGGTTTTGTATACAATTGTTTTCTATTTTTTCTTGGTTAAAAGATATTAATACATTGCTTGCGGTTTAAAAAACTGTTTTATGTGGCTATCACGAACATGCACAAAAAACAAATTAAACTTTCAAAATTTCATTTTTTTATTCTCCCATTCTAAAATAAAACCATTTAAATGATAACATTACACAAATATTTCTCAGTTGGTATGAAGCCTGAAAAAACGTCATCACGCTTGCATAATAGAGAATTGTGTAGTACAGATAAACAGGTTAATTTACACTGCAAACATGTCTGTGTCATCAAATCATGTGTTCACACCAAATGGTTGTCAAAAATTCTCACATACTTCATATCTTATTACACTTGCACACAACAACGTGTCATCAAATCATGCTAATTACACACATTTTAATGCAATTGAATAAAGTATGGCACCCAAATAATTAATAAACTTAAACTGGATATTTTTGTTTGATAGGAACAAATATTTCCACATAATGGCATGTTAATAAACCCTCTCTTGACTTCACATTATTTGCTTTGGTCTCAACAACCAATGACAGTCAGCAACATGTATTTTTTTCTGATAGAGTATAATTAAACATACCAAAGCATATCTACATATAGCTACTGTTGTCAAAAATGAAATATCTCTGCCATACTGATCTTTACCATAAGGAGGAAACATCCCACATTCTTAATCCCTAGCTCTAATTTACATGCCTTCTCACTCTAAAAAACAAACTGTATTTCTTTTTCAAGCCTCTCACATATTCAACTTTGTCTTTAATCCCACACCTAACTTTAATCCACCCTATGTATATAATTCACTACTGGTAGCTATATACATATGGCCCCACCATCTCTAAATTTCAACTATTACCATAATAGACCCCTCCCCCTCCCTGTAACTGTTAGCTATACAAGGCCTCACTTCCTTCCTTTAACATCCTCTTTAATCACCATAATAGACTCCTCCCCCATCCTGTAATTCACTACTTTTAGCTAAACAAAGCCCCAACTGCCTCCTTTCTTAATAATTTTTAATTACCATATTAGACTCCACCTCTTCCCTGTAAATCACTACTGGTAGCTATACAAGGCCCCACTTTCTTCCTTTAACATCCTCTTTAATTACCATAATAGACCCCTCCCCCATCCTGTAATTCACTACTGATAGCTATACAAGGCCCCAATTCCTTCCTTTACCAACCTATTTATTTACCATAATAGACCCCTCCCTCTCCCTGTAATTCATTACTATTAGCTATAAAAGACTCCAACTGCCTCCTTTCTTAATCATTTTTAATTACCATATTATACTCCACCTCTCTTTGTTATTCACTACTGGTAGCTATTCAAGGCCTCAACAATTTACCTTTAACATCCAATATAATTAACATATTAGACCCCTCCTCTCCTGTAGTCTACTACTGTAGCTATACTGTACAAGGCCTCAGTTTCCTTCCTTCCTTCATTATCAATTTTAATTACCATATTAGACCCCTCACTCTTTAATTCACCACCAATAGCTTTGAAAGGCCTCAGCTTCCTTCCTTTAACATCCACTTGAATTACCATATTAGACCCCTCCCTCTCACCGTAATTCTTAACTGATAGCTATTTCCCCCAGTTAATTATCAATATTCACTTCACTAAGCTATATTTGTTAATGTTGGTTACGATGAAAGGTAGCAGATTTATATAAGTGTACACATTTGTTTCTGTCTCCTATTCATTTATGTTCAATCATGTTTGTATAATGTACTGCATATGTTATGTGAATAAAACAAAATTTAACTAACTGATAGCTTTGCAAGGCCCCATCTTCCTTCCTTTAACATCCACTATAATTACCATATTAGACCCCTCCCTCTCTATTTAATTGACAATTTCCCACCCACCACTCCAAAATCTTTCTTTCACAACTTCAACTACTACATGCACATAAGTTGCCTTTCCAGTGTGTAATCAACTAAGGGAAACACTTGTAGATTGTACCTACCATCAATCAGGATCTAAACCTTTCTAATTCATACAATTCATTGTTGGTAACTATACCATAGGAACATTTAAGTGAACCCTGATTTCCCCCCATATAAATCACTGATCACTGTTTAACACTAAACAAGGAAATCAACCCCCATAAAGCGAGCATTTCACATTCTAAGTGTAGGTAGGTTGGGGTTTTAATCAGTGTGAAATGAAACTTTTGGCCAAACATGAACCTGTCAATAAAGAAAAATGCATTTGAAAATAATATAACATCACTGCACATTAATGTAATTAGTGTAATAACAATTTCATGCATTCATTAACATATCAAATGGAGATAGAAAGTTAGGAATAATAAAATAAAACAGAATATGAAATTTATAAATGGATAAAATGACGATATGTTTTCTTATTGAGGCCACCCAGCCCACAGGTCACCACTTTGCTTTCCACGTGTACCGTAACATCTTAGCTTGTGAAGGCTATAGCAGACAGCAGACAACGGTCATTTACTGATTAACCAATCTCCGACCAGACCCAACTATACTGGACAGTTGAATTGTTCAACAGGAAAAATCTCATGCTCAAACTCAGATTCTGTGCTCAAACCCAATAGCTTATTCCAGTGAAAAATTACTAAAAGAATTTTGAGACATAGCACCAAATCCTATTTCAATGTTAACACTTGTATTTTTGATTGAGTCACATGATTTAACAAGAGGCCCATGGGCCTTAACGGTCACCTGATATATTTATACAGAGAGTTGATTTTGTTTTTAACACGAACAGAAATATTATTAAAAGTGACAAAAAACATTAAAACCACTTTTTTCAATATCTAGCATACAGATTTAAGACTAAAAAGTATTTGAAACTAGCACCTCTGATTCTAAACAAGGAAAATGAAGACTTTTTAGCACGCTGACTCCTTTGGGCCCCACCCTACAGCCGTTGGGGGTAAGGGCTGGCTTAAAATTTTCAAAGTATCAAACTGTTAACTCAGGGTTATAATTCCAATCAAGTTATTAACATGTAATATTCAAAGCATCATTTGCAATTATAAACCATAAGAAATTTTGCCCCCCCCCCCCTCCTTCCCCAGGAGGTAAACGTGAGACCCTAGGGTCATAAACCTTAAGACCCTTGCATCTATGAAGAGTGTTTGATTCTACCATATCTGGGGTTTTGAGAAGAAGATTTTTGAAATTTCAGTCAATTCAACCCTTTTTGGCCCCATCCATCAGCCCCGGGGGGTCAGTCAGGGCTGATATGTGCATACCATCAAACTGCTATCCAATACTAATAATGCTAACCCAAATTGAATTACTTCCAATGGAAATTAAACAAATGTTGGTCCAAAATATGATTTTACCTTTATAAACTATAGTAAAGTTTACCCCCTCCCCAGGGGTAAACGTGAGACCCCAAGGTCAAGAAATTCACAATTTTGGTAAAGCACCTTAAGACCCTTCCATCTATGAAGAGTATTTGATTCTACCATATCTGGGTCTTGAAAAGAAGATTTTTGAAATTTTAGTCAATTTGACTCTTTTTGGCCCCGTCAGGCCCCTGGGGGCTGGGGACCAAACCCGCCACTAGTGTTGTTGACCTTTGGCCATGGAAGGTTTCTGAAAAATTTCATTGAAATTGGTTCAAGGGATTTTGAGAAGAAGTCGAAAATGTAAATTGTTTACGGACGCACGACGGACGACAAAAGGCGATCGCAATAGGTCACTTGAGACTTTGTCTCAGGTGACCTAAAGAGTTACAAGAAAGTTTGTTTTTGCACAAAATCTGTACTTATGCATGAGAACGTTTTTCTGAATACAGACCCAGTACTCATCATGATGTACACTTTTTTCAGATTTTTTAAAGACAAATATGTCTAAATAAGGAGACTTAGCTGGTACTTATGTGAAGTTCTAATCAAACTTAACCTCAAAACATTCACTGACATGTCACTGGCGATCTGTCTATATATAGTCGATAAGTACCACATATAACCAATGCTGGTAATATGCACTTACTCCATATATCCACCGACGACCAGTATAGCATTGTCTCCTTACAGACAGACAGCAGTGCAGTCGTCAGACACTGCCTGTTTACAAATACTTCCCAGTCCGTCAGTTCATCTTAGATACAGCATATCTATAACGCCACGAAGTCCCCCTGCTGAGCTCACATTTGATTGGTAGTCCTGATGCTTTTTCAGACTGTAAAGTGTGCATAGACATCAAAACACTGCACACAATCATACCAGGTCAAGCTGCAGTTACCTCCCTTTGCCCATAAAATATATAAACAATAACACAATTTGTTCTGGATGGAACCATATTTAAGCTTGTAAAACTCGGGTGTTATGAGGTCATGAGTTACACTTGACCTCTCCTGTTTGTAACTGTCAGCAACGGTCGGCAACGGTCAGCAACAGTCAGCTTTTGCATGCTTTCTTTTCCATTTCACTGGAGAATACATGTCGTCACACTCAGAATACTTGACATGTCCTCTGTTGTTCTGTGTCGCCATGGTTACCATGCCACCTGATATGTCACACATGGCTACATCACCATTTTATTTCTACAGAAACATGTTGCTATCCACGCAGGTTTAGCTGTGGTCACTGTCCTGTTTGATTTCAGTAGCGTTTGATTATGACTTTCCACATTGAATATTGACAGCTTGTCATTTCACCCATTGAGGTGATCAGAATCTGCTTGGGAAATTACACTACCCAGCTGTCTCGTAGCTGAGTGTGAAAGTCACTGTAAGCCCCATATTGTCTCATACAGATTGTATCTGAGTTAGAAGGTCGCTGTAAATCATAAAGATATACTTCTCAGCTTTCCTTAACTGGACCTGATGATTCTGGTGAGAATTTGGCCACTTTCACACCAGTCCCCCTGGACAGTACAGCTATGCTGTGTTCAGTGGTTCCCCCTGGTAGCTGTAGTTCAGCCCAGTTAGACAGGGTTGTTACCCACCAGGCGTCCATCAGTAAGATCCCGACCTCGCACTCTAAGTAACAGTAGATCTGAAAAGATACAAACAAGTATTAATTTTAAGGTACAAAAATGTCAAGGATAATTTAATGATGTCATTGGTTTAATTGAAACAATGACATCAATTGTTTTTCATTCTACAAGAATATTACAGATAAAATGGATGTGAATAGACAATTATTCCTGAGGGGATCATAAATAGGGGTATAAACTGAGATTCTCCTGAAGATTGATGTTGCCAAGGCTCGATCTGCCCAAGGTTTTACCCTAATTCGTGCTGTATGAGACAGCACTTCTCTATGCTCATCTAAAATACCTTTCTCCTTTAACGCTGAGATAACTTCATTGAAGAAATGAATTCTGCATATACCCTCCAACTACACTCTTTCCCCGAGAACTCCATGGTTATTTTGTTAACTCATTCCCCCCTGAAGACACATTTGAACTCCTCCAATCCAAAGGATGAAATAGTTCATTATGAAATTTCAGGGGTGAATGAGTTAATTGATGTTTTTGCTTAAAGGATGTGTCTAGCTGTGACCTACATATAAATTTGAACTTCTTAACGACTTTACTTAGCATACAGACAAATATGGTTTATATGTTGATACATTACTATTATACTACTTACTGCTAAACAATTTTGAATTTTTGTAAACCTTTTGCGATATTGGTCATGCATTTAGGTCCTTAAAGTAAATATATAGCCTTAATTGATAGATAGAGTTACTTCCCTTCGTCATTGTACTAGTAAACAGAGTGATCAGTTTATCTTACATGACTAGATACAAAAAGTTCTTTTTTAAAATGATACCTCCGTAACAAACAGACAAGTAATTATATGAAAATGAATGACACTAATGATTTAAACAAGTACATCTCGCAGCTAATATCTACAATAGCTCCAAGGATGAAATCGTGAATACCCTGGATACAAAAAGATTCAACAGACAAATACCCGAAGATCTAGAGAGGTCCTATCAAGATTTTATAGTCCAACTGTAGACTTTGCCTGCAGGTTTCTGCCTCCTGATCTGGTCACAACAGAGCTTTGCCCAGACTGGACTTCGAATAAGTTTTAGGAAATCCACATATAGCCAATATAAACTCTATTTTTAACAAAATCCACCATCCTGTCTCAAGCTAGTCACTTTCGCTGCAGGCTATAAGGATGCGTCAGCTGACCGTATTGTGTTTACACGAAGCAACAATAGTTGAGTAATGATTGACAAAACACATTTGACGTCTGGTGCAAAGATCAAGGTCAGGGTCATGGAAAACGGAAATTGACATCACAGACATGAAAGGTCACCAGGATATTGTCCAGGAGCTGGAGCCATCAATTTAGAATATGCTCCAACCAGAATGACTTCATCTAATACAGGGAGACATATTCTCCAATATTAACTTAACATGTTGCATAATTGATATTTTTCAGAGGACAACGAATCTGGAACCATGAATTATCAATTATCTAGATTTTCAATTATCTCTAGATTTATGAATAATTAATCAAATTAGATTATCTGTTAACACTTCTTGGATTCATTAGTGAGGTCAAGGACATTGAAGGAAATTTACTAAAAAACCAATGTCTTTCCACATTTCAATTTTTCTTCTTTTCAATTTCTAGTTTTCATTTATGCGTGAAGTAAAAAAAAGTATGAGATTTTCAAAAAAGAAATAATCAGTACCTATTGCTCTCACGGTAAATCGTAGCAGTAAAATTACTAATACAGTACAATGAAGACAGTAAAATAATCTACATCCTGTCCACATCCTGACTACAAGACAATCGTAATGTAGTTATCTCATGTCTCTGCCTCTCGTTCCTAATGATGATACATAATGTAGTAATAATTTGGTCCACACAATAGAACAGGAAGGTTATAGCTGTATGATTGCCATTTGTGTGGCTCAATTACATTTATTTACAGACGTTGAGATGCAGGATACAGTGATGCCTATAACGCAATGGAACATTTCAGTACCACGTCCAATGGGACTTGGAGTAAATTAAAGATGACGGCTCACAGAAGATTTTGAAGTCTAGCATCAATGATGCGATTAAGGTTTTAAGATAAAAAATCCTTAAAACTCAAGGTCATCAATTCCTGATATTAATGTAACCTTAGGTGAAGATGCAATGGGGCAATATAGAAATAAGGTGGAGCCAATACTGATCCGTTCACTTGACGACTAATTGATTTTTGCTTACTGCTACATTCCGCTTGATATATAACTTGTCAGAGAAAAACATAATATCAAGCAAAATAGGATACAAAATGATAATGTGTTTTTTTCCGACATTTTCAGCCGTCAAAACCATGATTGACCTAATTATATGTCCAAGTGATGAAGTAATAGCAGATAAGATAATTCAATAACAAAATGTTTGAATATAACATATCATAAACATGATTACCACAGGTGAGCTGCAAATACAAGCACACCAAAAACTTATAGGTGAAAACATAACATGAGTAACAAACCAGGAAAAAAGTTGAAACAGGTTTGCGATTGGAGTAGCTCCTCGACATGTGACCTACGCTGGTCTGTTAAACACATTGCCTCTCGTCAAGTCCAGATGTGTAAGAAATCTAACCCTCCATTCTGTTTACACCTGTGCTAGTTCCTGCAGAACGGTAGGGGGTGGAAACACTTTGTGAAGACTTTATGCAATAACAAGTGCCAATGGGCTATGGGCAAAGTGGAACTCTTCAATGTTTTCAAGACAAAATGTAATTGCCAATTTCATGGAGGCAGCATTTTGTCGGTGTATTTCATTTTTAGACACACCCTCTGTAACAGCCTCATTACCATTACCAGAGTCTATAAAGATTGCGAACTATTGACGTAACTGGGGTTCTCAGGCAATAACATATATAGCCAACTCCCAGTCATTTCTCTAAAATACCTGAACGTTATTTTTGTAATAATTATAGTTAAACCTGAGCACTTCTTTATAAGCAAAACCATTATTTCCAGTTCTAAACTTAAGTGTTGTTAGAGAAAGTACTATAAATTGGCTTATTGCAGTCACATAACAGACAAGGGCTGATGTTTTTGTTCTGCTTTTTAAAAAAAATCATGCTGATAGCTTTTTCATTACAAAATCTGCTACAACTGAAACATTAATATTGTATGAACATAAAATCTAAATACTGCGCACAATATTTTACCATATAGCCTTTTCTGCTGGGTTAGATTTACGAGATAGCAGTTCGAGATTTGGATCAAGACTTTTCACGATTTGGCAATGGGGTGGGACAAGGGCAGTAACCCATTAAAATGAGTCATCACCTGGCCTCCACCCCTGTAGCAATGGAAGTCATTATAAATCCTAAAGTAGCCGTCTGATGTTTAAAAGCTCGCTAAATTACATACCTGTGTCCGATTAACAGGTGTATGTTGCCAATTGTATCACTAGAAGTTTAACCATCCTACAAAGATTTGTCTCATTACCAAATCTGTTTTGAATGCATTCGCGTATCATCTATCTTAACGCAGCAATAGTAACAATGCCAAACTCAGAAAAAGCTCAATTAAAGGGTGCATTTTTCAAATCTTTCTCCAAATACAAAATTTGCTGAAAAAAATACTGCATAAAAGCTCCTTCTCTCGGGAAGTGCTCCGTGGAAAATCTCTGAAGATTTGCTTAGGGAGAGATATCTCATTTGAGGCTTTTTGAGTTAGAATCTATATAACACTGACTTAACAAAAATGTGCTGACAAGAAGAAAGGAAAGTTGAAAGAGACGTTGGACAGAAAAAAATAAAAGGAAGAAAGGATTGAAGGATTTAAGGAAGGTCTAAGTAAGAATAGATGGTTTCTTAGAAACACAAAAGATATTCTACTGATAAACGGCTACCCTTCGTGCAGCTGGTCCACCAGGCTTTGACAAAATGAAATGGAAATTATGACCACAAACCTAATGTTACATTACATAACTCTGTTTGTGCTAGTCTGCCCAGCACAGAATCGGCTAACAGGGACCTCTGCGGGGCAAAATGGATATAACCATCCAGTAATCTACCATAAACAAGGTCCTGTATGGAAACTTCAACATAATATGTCTGACAGGTCCAATAACATAAAATACATCCGACAGCCACTCAACAAGGTTACCAATATGATACAGTCAGATAACGCAACAGAGCACGGCTTAATTCACCATCTTACATGATCATCCGTCAATATCACTGTACTTTTCTAATATAATATCATGTGTTTCATAAATAGCATCCTCACGTTACTCGCTATAATATATAGAGTATATGCTTGAGTTAAAGCAAGTAAAAACCCATGCCAAAATGTTTATCACATGACCCCATCCTTCAACTAACTGGAAATCTCACCATTAGAGAATGCTAGAAACTAATTTTAAAGATTTGGCTGAACTTTTAGTTCTTTTTTTATCATCTTGTAGCATTAGTTGCATATCTTGTATAATTAGTCTTGTTTCTGGACCAGCAAGAGTACTTTTTAACACATTAAACAAGTGAGGAGAAGGTCAGAAGGAACAGCCAGCCCCATTGGATCACCAGATGATATCCAGAGACTTAAAGAATACAAAAAACCTGGTGTCCAATGATATAATTAGAAAGTGTCCAATGATATAATCAGAAAGTTTCCAATGATATAATCAGAAACATAACAATAAGGAGATACCATTACATAATATCCACAGTTCTTCAATTCTGTTAAAATAATTACACCAAATATTTTCTTTTACAGAAAATATTGTTTTTTAATATTATCCTATTTTAAAACCTAAATGTTGGAGATTATTTTTTATGCCTCAGAATGTCCATCAACCAAGCTCATACTTTAATAAGAATATAGTATAGATAAGAAAACAAGTAAGGCAACTATGATACCCTTCAATTTGGAAGAGGTTTGTATGAAAAAATAAACAAAGGGCAATAACTCTGTATAAAGAGGGGCACAAGTCTCTGTTTCAGTAGACACTGAAAACGTTCCTATGCAACATTCATCAAGTCACTGCTATGTGAAGTTAAACACAACCAAC